GTGCTACCAAGCTGTACATTACACACAGTAAAATTACTTCCCCCCACCCCCCTTTTTGTTTGTTTATGAGACAAAGTCTCACTATGGAGCTTTGACTGACCCGGAACTCACAAAGGTCCACCTCCCTCTCCCTCCTGAATGCTGTGACTAAAGGTGTGTGCCACTGGGCCCAGCAAGTTAACTCCTGTAGTGATTTTTTTTTTTAGGTACTATTATGTTCTTAAATATAAGTAAAAATATAAATAATGCTACTATGCACACATACCAACACACACACACCTTTTTATTACACATCTTTTTATCCCCCTTCAGGTTCATTGTTACAGTGAACTTTAAAGTATAGGTTTGCTGAGTCAAGTAAAGCAATTATATTTATTTTACTATTAATAGGTAGGTAAGTAGGCAAGTAGTTAGGGAGACACTATTAAATGGCCTTTCAAAAAGATTATAAACAATCTATTTCAAAAAACTTCAGATTAAGGCTGGAGAGGTGGTTCAGCAGGTAAAGGTGCTTGCTGCCAAACCTGATGACCTGAGCTCTGACCTTGGGCTTACATGGTAGGAGGGTAGAACTGACTCCTGCATGTTTTCCTCTAACCTCCACATGTGTGCCATAACACACATGTCATATTACATGTTAAAAAATTTTTTTAACCCACAAAGCTCGAGTTTAACTGAATAAGAGCTCACTTGTGTTTCTAATTCAGTCCTTTGTTCATTTATTTAAAAGAAATTTTTTGGTTTGTTTATTGTGCTTGTTTATTGGTGGGCGTAAGGGTGGTGTTAGCCAAGGTCTAACAGTATAGCCATAGCTGGCCTCAAACTTCAAAGTGATCTTCCTGCCTCTGCCTCCCAAGTGCTCTTGGCAGAGGCATCATATGGTGAGAGAGCAAGTATGCTAAACTAATGTGCTAGATTGGGTCTCTCTTCTTCTAGAAAACAGTTGACGCCATCATGGAGCTTACCCTCATGACCTCAGCTATAATTAGCTTTCAAAGGTTCTACTTCTAAATAACTCTTATTTTCATTTGAATGGCCCCTCAACTTTAGGGGCCATTCAGATCACACAATAGTTCCAGAAGGCCTCACTCCTAACACATGCAAAGATGCAGAGATGCTCTTGATTTCTCCTTCCCCTTTGCTCTGTCCTTGTCCCTCTTTCTGCCCTACTCTCCCGTCTCTCTCCAACTGTCATATACGTAGAAAATCTGTCTTTTGTCCCTTTGATCTCTTTCAGTTGATTGTCTCTCTTTTAAACTTCTATTTTAAAAGATTATGGTTACTGTCATTCTTCTGTCATTTGACCAGCACCCCTCCCCACCCTTTTTGTTTGTCAAACTGGTGAATTTTTCTCCTTCATTTGCTTTCGTAGTTAACCTTCCTGGTCCCTATATAGTTCCTTGAATTTCTCTTTACTCCTCTTTTGTGGTGTTGAATTACCTTGACACATTTTCTGCCTGTTCTTTTTCTTGATATCAGTTTATCCAGAAAGAAACCGTCTCCGTTGGTTCTTCCAGCTTCTCATGGTTCTGGAACCTGAATTTGTGCTTCCAGGTTTTCTCTTACAGTTACACATGAAAACAGTTTTCTCTCATTAAAGTTTCATTTTATTTCTGACCTGCCATTTTAAAATTTAATGATTTTATGCAGTGAATTTTTCAGGAGTGCCTACTGTATACCTGGTTGTTGTAGGTTTTGGCTTGTGGAGCTTACACTCAAGTGGGTAAGGCAGTCAGTTAACAGATAATGTGATGTCAGCTCCTGAACCTGTTTTAAAGGATTTGTATGTTAAGGATTGTGGGGAAGGCATGTGCTCTTGCATAGGGTGACTAGAGAAGGAAGGGTTCTCTGCAGAAGTGATATTCGAGTTAAACTAGCATGAAGTGAGAGAGTACTGAGCTAAATACATGGGTTATGGCAGGAGTCCTGTGGGCAGAGGGAATGGCAAATGCAAGTGCTGTCAAATGGGCCTGCGCTTGCTTGTGTCAGGGAAGGCCAGGGTGAAGCAGAGTGAGTCCGCAAGGCTTGGAGACTCCAGGAATTCAGGCTAGGATTTTGAACTTTCAAATGAAAATCTAAATGTGTTGCTGAGGTGTTGGAGAGCTTTGAACAGAGGAATTTAATATGATCTGACAATATTTTTAAAAGAATTGTAATGATAACTGTGGGAAAGAAACTATATGGTGGGAGGAGTCATCATAGGAACCCAGAACAGGACTATTACAGTATTGCCTTTATAAGACCTGATGGGGATTTGAAGCAAAGTGACTTGGTAATGCTGGGATGAATGATATGCTTTAAATATGCTGGTTGTATGTACAGGGAAATAATGAGTTCAGGAGCTAAAAATGGCTCTAGAGTTTTAACTTGAGCAACTAGAAGGCCTGTGTTTGGGAAATTCTTGGGGAATAGTTTTTTTTGCGGGAGGTCATAGATTATGGATGAAATTGTTTCTTTTCAACTTGCTAGCTTTGAGGTGCTGATTAGACAACGTAATGGAAGTCAGATGACACTCTTGTATAGGTCCATTGTGAGTTTGAAGCTGAAGAAAACACCTGTAGGTATCAGGAGTGTATAAGTGGGCCAGAATGGGATCACCTAGACATGATTATGAATGTGTGGGTAAGAAAAGAGGTTAGAGGACTCAACTGTGTTTCTTCCAGTGTATAGACACCTGCAAGCAAAGGAGGGTTTTTTCAAAGGATATTGAAAACACGTGGCTGGTGAGAATAGGGTATGATGTCCCGGTAGCTAAATGAAGAGCATGACATACACAGGAGAGAGGGGTTAGCTATTTGGATAGCTGCTAGAAAATGAAATAATTTAAAACATTAATTGACCTTCGAATTTGATTTGCTACCACTTTGTAGTACAAGTAAATTTCAACATACACCTTTTTACTTCCTTCCCCAAATCAGTATTTATTAGCTTTTTTTTCTTGGACTGTTTAACTGTTTTAGATTGTTACTTTTACTTTTGATTACACTATAAGACACATGGTCATTGTAGAAAATGTGGTACAGAGAATGTTTAAGAAAGACTAATCAACAAGAATTAGGATAACAGCAATACTTCTTATCCCTTTTACCACTAGAGATAATCAGTGCTAACAGCCTATTATATTTTTGTACATTTTATGCATCTTTGCTGTGAATATATTATTTGTGTGCTTTATAGAGAGTTGATAAAAAGTAGTCTTGATTTGCTTTTTTTAAAGTGAATGTAAAGCCCTTCTTAATATAAACTTTTTCTTTGAGAGTGTGATTATGTTGGAACATAAGTATTCTGTCGTGATAGAATAGACTAACTGAACTTCCCACCTATTCCTATTTTATCTTAGGAGAGTCCTGATTAATTTTTCTGAAGCATGTCGTCTTGTGAGTTTTTAGTGTATAGTGTAGTAGTTAAGAGCATAGACTCTACTTTTGAGAGTAATGCATGCTCTTTAGTAGGACATTTATTTGGAAAATAGAAGAAAGGTAAATTCTTATCTTTATAGATAAATACTACTTATAATTAATGTTGTATTTTCATCTATTTCCTTCCAGTCTTTTTTTCCCCTGTCTGAGTGTACATGGATATGAATTTCATTTGTTTAATTATTTCTAAGAAGGATCAGACTGTTTTTTGGCCAACATTTTCTTCACAATTCATACTTTCCTCTGTTCTTATGCTTTGTCTTGGTTTGAGCAGTTTTGTGGTTCTATTTGTTGCTGAATTGCTCTTCAGAAAGATTGTATATTACTGAAAGTATATTTATGAAGAATTTTGTTTTCTTTAAATTTTAGGATAGACCACTATCTTGTTGAGCTCTTTTAAGTGAAGTTCTACTTGGATACAAAGATGAGGACTAGATAACTTCTTGAGGTTCCTTCTAACCACTAGGATGAAGATAATAACTAACATTTGTGTAGTGCTCTAAAGTTCACAGAGTGAGTTTCCATACATCATCCCACTTGATCCTCACAACAACTCTGTGAGGTAGGTAGGACAGGTACTGTTATTCTCATTTCAGAGGTAGAAGAAACTGATAGAGAGCCTAAATGATGTAATCAAGTTTAAGTGTTCTGGCAGGGATTTGAATCCATACTTTTTGATTTAAATAAAGCATTCTTTATACAAAATATCAACAAATAAGTGTTTAGAATTATATATGCAGGCTGACTTCTAAGGTGGCATTTCTTCTATACAGAAATAAATTTAGTAACAGTGTGAATGCATTGTTAATATTTCCTTGTTGAATCCATACTTTTTGATTTAAATAAAGCATTCTTTATACAAAATATCAACAAATAAGTTTAGAATTATATATGCGGGCTGACTTCTAAGGTGGCATTTCTTCTATACAGAAATAAATTTAATAACAGTGTGAATGCATTGTTAATATTTCCTTCGGTGTCCTCTAGTCCTTTTCTAATATCTCTTCCTACTGATTAGGAGAAAGTAGTTTAATTATATAGCTATCTTCATCATTTGGGGGAAGAAGTTATAGTTTTCATTTTCCTTATTTTTCTTTGTGATTTATTTTACCATTTAAAAGCTACCTGTATTATTCCCGTACATGTAATATAAAGTCTCTAATTAGTATCCTAGCTAGAATTAGAATACTTGGTTCTGTCATGAATCTAGAATCATAGGCTTTTCATGATCTGAAACTCTTTCATACTACCTTATGCAGAATTGAGATGATTAGATATTTCAATATAGTTGCCTATGAAATTCTTAAGGGAATAGCAAATGATAAAAAAGCAATAGTTGAGGTTAAATCAGGAAGGATTATTGCTAATTCTCTGTGAGCAATTACCTCACAAGGTAGACATTTATCACACTAAATTGATGTAGGTGCTTAGTAGTAACAGTATCACATGTTAGCATTTAACCTATATTTTTATGACTAATAGTATCACATTAAAACACTTAGTTTTTTTTTTCTGTACTGCTTTTAAATACTTAACACACCCAATATTTTTAAAATAATTTTTGTTTTTGTCTCTTTCTAGTTGTTGGTCTTGACGATATTATGGATGAAGGAGTTGTTAAAGAAAGTGGTAATGATACCATTGATGAAGAAGAATTGATTTTACCTAACAGGAATTTGAGGGACAGAGTAGAAGACAATTCAGTGAGATCACCAAGAAAATCACCTCGTTTAATGGCACAAGGTAATCCTTCTAAAGAGGTCCAGTTAGAAAACAGGCATAGAAACAGGTGTGGTAGGTCATGAACGTGCTAGGCAGAGCTGTCTCTTCCCTGTCAACCTTCCATCTACCTATCTGTCTAAAGATGGTCTCATACAGCCCAGACTGGCCTCAGACTTGCTGTGTAGCCAAGGCTGGCTTTGAACTCTTTTTTTTTTTTTTTTTTAAACTTTTACAAAAACTTCATTGAGAATTTCATACATGCATATAAGGTGTTTTGATCAAATCCATGCCCACTCCCTCCCCTCCAACATTTCTCATATCTCCCCATCACTTTTTTCTTTTTTTTTATTCTTTCATTTATTTATTTTTATGGGGCTTTTGGCTACTCTAACATTCCCCCCCCCCCCCAAGAGGAATCCCAAAAATCTTTTAAGGATTAAAAACAAGCTCCAAAATACTTTCGACATTTTTGGCCTTTAGAACAGAGTATGTTGCTAAGAGGCCCAAGGACATTTTTACTCTTAGCCAAGAAACTGGCTACTTTTCTTTGGGATCTTTGTACTGTAACGCTGCCTAGCTAATTCCTACCTCCTATTTTTATCATGCCATCCTCTGAAGGTGTTACCCAAATTGCCAACAGGGAATAGGGACGCAGACCGCTCTGGCTTCTTCCATGCTGAACATGGACACAACAGGGTGAGGCAATTGGAGTACCCCTTCAGTGGGTCTATCTAAAAGACTCCCAAATTGCATAACTCTTATCTCTAAGGGGAAAAGAAAGTCCTTGAATTGTGAATAGGAGATGTGAAGGAGAAGTAAAGGCAAGAGTAATTAGCATTACAAGTTCTAGACAGGGAACTAGAAAAAAGTCAGAACACAGCAATTTTCAAACGTTCATTAGAGAGTCCATTGGAGTTTCTTGACAAGGGCTTCCAAAAGCATCCCTCTATTGGGTTCTTCCCCATTTTTCTTTTGTCTTCCAAGGCTGGACTCTAGAGTGATGGATTCAGGATTTGCTTTCAGGTATTTTGGTAGCACCATGGGGAGGCAGGATCAGGGGCTCTCAGGCAGTTCCCTGGGTTCTCAGGCCCTCTGCTAGAGGGAGGCCAGAGCTGGCACTCTCTGGTGGTCTGCTGAGATCCTGGCTTTGAACTCTTAACTCTCCTACCTCTACTGCCTGTTAGGATTATAGGAGTACACCACCATGCTTGAGAGATTTTTAAAACATAAGTATTTTGTAGTGTAAGTATTTTGATAATCAAATTTGAAGCCATGACAACTTGTTTTATTTACTCCTTTCTGATCTCCAGAGGAAGCCACTGTTACCTCTTTTCAAGGCTCTTAGTTATCTCTTTTTGGTTTTTATCTTTATATCTCTGTTACATGTACATGCATTGCTACCTTTTGACTATTTTGATTTATCACTTCCCAGTCTGGATGATAAAAATTTTCTTTTTCTTTTCTTTGAGACAGGGTCTTCCTGTCGTCCCAGCTCGCCTGACACTGACTGCGTAGACCAGGCTGGCCTTGATCTATTTTGTCTCTATCACACAAAATACATTTTCTCATCTTTCTAATATATCGTTTATTAGTGTAGTACTAATTATGTTGTTATGACTATGCTACTGGGGATTATTTAATAAACTATGGTTGCTTTTCTTTTTTATGCAAGTGTTTGACTCTTCAATTTCTTTTTAATTTTCATTTGCTTTGGTAATGACAGCTATTATACACCTAACTATTATGCTAGTTGTCTGAATGTTTTCTCAAGAAGTTGGTGAAAGATGAATTTCATCTGCGTTCTTTGAGCCACTTTGGGTGGGCTAGTGTGTTACTCTGTGAGGCTGTCTCAAACTCCATTCTTCTTAGGAGTCTGTGGTTTGTTCCTCTCTTTTGGCTGAATTTCTTCATTGTTTTGATGTACCTCCTCCTGTAGTTTTATGAGAAAAGGGCACAGGAACACATACTTTTAAGCCTTGTTTTAAGTGCATTGAATTTATTCTCATACTAGGTGGGATCGTGGTTTGGTTGGGTATGTGTAGAATTCAATGTTGGAAGTCTTTTTTTTTTTTTTTTTGTCTTTCTGAGACAGAGTCTCCCTGCTGTTATAGCTGGCCTGGAACTCACTAACTGTGTAGACCAGGCTGGCCTCAAACTCACAGAGATCTGCTTGCCTCTGCCTCCCAGGTGTTGGGACTAAAGGTGTGTACCCCCATGCCCGGCTTTGGAAATCGTTTTGTATTTTAATTAGAATTTTTTATTTTTTACAATTATATACATGTATGTAATGTGCTTTGATCATATCTCCTCCATTTTCCTCTCTTTCCTTTCCCACAATGTTGGAAATATTCCTTCTTCCCAATCTTGTACTTTCATGGTTTTTGGGGGGGGCAGGGTGCCCCACTGCATTTAATTAGGGTTGTTGCATGCATGGACAGAAGTGGGGCATTATGTACTTTTGGAATTTTTTTTAATGTGTATGAGTATATTGCCTGTATGTATGTATGTAAGTGCACCAGTGTCATGTAATGCCTGTGGAGGTCAGTAGAGTTTTGTCAGATCCTCTGGAACTGGAGTTACGGATGGTTGTTAGCTGCCATGTGGGTGCTGGGAATCAAAACCAGGTCCTTTGCAAGAGTTGCTGTTGCTATTAACCGCTGAGCCATCTCTCCAGTCCTGGGCTTTTGGAAATATAAATGTATGACTCAGTTATTGAAAAGTCTTTTCTGGTCTTGGAGGTGTTGCATGGTTGTGTGCTGAAAGCTTGTAGACTCTTTTTAGTCTTTTAATAGAATTTCATGATTGTGGTGTTTTCTGTATTTTATGTATTAAGCTTGGTGATACTCATTAGAAATGTAAGTCTGAAAACTCATTAGAAATGGAAGTCTTTGCCTTCCAAGCGTCAGGTAATAGATACTAGTCCTTCCACTTTATTTTGTGCTTGTTCCCTCCCTCCCTCTCCCTCTCTCCCTCTCTCCTTGCTGAAAATTTCTCATTGTTTTCCCCAAACCTTTCTATCAAGTTTTGTAGTTTCTAATTCTCAAATGTTCCTTTGTTTGGTTTGGGGGATGGCCCTTTAGATGACATTCTTTTTATTTGTATCATAGCTTTTATTGTTAAATACTAATATCTTTTGTCTTTGCTAAGATCATCAAGATGTTTTGTTTTTGTTTTATGTGTGTTATATGTACATCCTTGGGGGCTTGTGAGTTACGTGCATGCATGTGTGTGTCTGAAGGCCAGAGGACAATGTCAGGTATATTTCTCCATCACCTTCCACCTTAGTTTTTGAGTCAGTGTCTCTCACTGAACTAGGAACTCAGTGATTCACATAGGCTAGTTGGTCAGTGAGCTCCAGGGATTGTCTTGTCACTCCCTCCCCTGCAGTTCTTGCATTGCGGGTTCCAGATGCATGCTGCCCTTACATGTGTTGTTGTTGATGATCTGAGCTCAGGTCCTCATGATTGCATAGTAGGCATGTCATTGACTGAGCCATCTTCCTAGGCCATATTTTTAAAAGTTATTGAGTGCTTCCCACATGTCCAGAGATTGTGAGTCCTGGAGGAAATAGAAAGAATCCTAAAGAATAGGGTTACTGTGTAATTACTCTCCCCTGGGACACTGTAGAGTAAAAGGGTACTACTGTTACTTACACCAGGATCTGGGATTGTTTCCAGTTAAAAGAAGAAATAGTCCTTCTTTAACTGGTGAGGTATACCTTTAATCCTGGCATAAAGAGGGCATAGGCAGACCTATCATAGTGAGTTCTAGGCCAGGTAGGACTACATAGTGAAACACTGTCTCAAAAAAAAAATTGCTGGGTATAGTTGACTCATGCCATTAACCCCAGGCAGATCTCTGTGAGATCAAGCCTGGTTTAGTCTACATAGCAAGTTTCAGGCCAGCTGGGGCTCTAGGGATCCCTGTCTCAAATACCAACAAAAAAAAAAGAAAGAAAGAAAAGAAAAAGCCTTACTGTCTGATGATAAGTGACAAATTAGGGAAATGTTCAAAGTAGTAGCATAATAGGATTTTATTTTGAATGAACAATTTTAAAAGAACTTGACTTGTTATGAGAAGTTGATTTAGAGATACTAGCTGGACATATTTCATAGTTGTATTTTGCTTTTTGTGATTTTTTTTTATCTTTTTTGTAATTCATTTTACTTGGTATTTCTCTTTCCTCTGGAAAACTTACCAGGATAGGAAAAAGGGAGAATTATGTAATAGACTCTATTAGGAGCATTGCCCTATAAAATTCTTTTGCTTTCCTTATATAAGTCCTTGGCTTAGTTATTCATTTCTTTGGCAAACTTTCTTTAGGAATAGCTTAGGGACTGGAGATGTAGCTCACTTGTTAGAGTTCTTGCCTGGCATGCAGAGGTCTAGGTTTGATCCTCAACACCACATAAATCAGATGTAGTGGCAGCAGCCTATAATCCCAGCACTTGGAAGGTGGAGGGAGGAGGATCAGATGTTGAATGAAGGTCTCCTTGGAGTTCAAGGCCAGTCTAGGGCACATGAGACTGTCTAAGAAAGAAAGGAAGGGTAGGGGGAGATCCAACATAAAATGGTGGTATGCTAGAAATGTATTAAAATAGGAATTAGAGGGTTTTTTTGCAGTTACATACTGAATTCCAACAGCTCTTAGTAGAGATGGTTTTGTTTGTGAAAAGATTTTACTGACATTAGGACTTACATGATTTTAAATAGAAATATTTGATGTGTGATAATCTTTCTTTAAGACAGGCATTATTAATGGTAAAGGAAGCCTTTTTTGTACTTAAATTTCCATCCCTTCTTCTGGAAAAGAAACTAGTTGAAAACATTTCTTGTAAATTATATCAGCCTGAATTTTATAGAGGTTTCCCTTTTCAGAATAAAAAAAAAACCAAAAACTTCCAATAAAAGTCAAATTAACCTAAAAATTAAGTATATTAATGTGTATATAATCAATCATTAGTAACTGTCAGTACACATTTGTTGAAATGATCAGATAAGTTTAATAGCTTAGAATAAAGAAGTAATATATTCTAAACTCTTCTGAAATATAAGCACATAGCTAAATTATTTTTATTTTTTTTCCCTGTGATAGAACAAGTAAGAAGTTTGCGACAAAGCACTCTTGCCAAGCGTTCAAATGCAGCACCTCTGAGTAGCACAAAAAAAGCATCTGTGAAGACTGTGTCTGCCCTGAAGGCTGGGGTGAAACCATCAGAAAGATGTCAGGTTAAAGAAGAAGTTTTTGCATCATTGAAATCCGAGTACCCTAAGGAGACTAGAAGGAGCAGCCGACACTCTGAACACAGTGAAGTGGTACCAGAAGTTTCCGTATCTTCAAGTAATTCCTCAGTATCACCTTGTGTTGAAATGAAGGATGACACTGGCTTAGATCCCAAGCGTGAGTGTAATAACCAAGGTGAAGCAAGCGTGCCATCTCATGAATTAGATTGCCCGCTTCTTTCAGAGACCTGTGCTGCTATTGAAGAGAAGAGTGAAGCCCTGATGGAGTGTGAGATTAAGACTGTCAGTGCCCCATTGTTTAAGTTTTCAGATAAAGAAGATGAACAGAATGATCCTGTTTCAGGTAAAGTGGATGAAACTATTGAAGAAAGAAGAGTAAAGGGAAAAGTTGAACAAGAATCAAAGGAGATAAAGTTACCCCATGAAGGTAACCAAATGATTGAAGAACCTGAATCTTCTGATACATCTGGAGATTCTGTTTGTACAGATGCAAATAAGGCAGAAAAGAGCCTGCTAGGTTTGTCTAGTTCAGTGGACGAAGTGGCTGAACGTAATTTGGAATTGAAGAACACCACGGATATTGTTGATAAAGCTGAGAACTCCCTTCAACAAAATCAGATGGAAACACTGGGGTATTGTGAAGACATGGAGTCCAATGATGCTCAGTTACAGAGCACAGAGTTTAGTAAATCAGATTTGAAGGTGGTTGATACTTGTGCTTTTGAACCAGAAACTAGTACTTTAAGAAATAATATTTGTGATGTATCTGACCAAAATTCCAAAGAGTTGAATATTATTCAGAGTATTAAAGTGGAGTCTCTTGAAACAGCAGATCTTCAGGATAATAGAAGTAGTTTAGAGCCCCCAGACATAAAACCCAAACACACAAAATCTGTAGCTCATTCTAAACAAAGCATGACCACAGAGACCCCAAGGAGAACTGTTGCAGCAAAACACGAAGTAGTTCATAACAAAACTAAAGCTAATGTCAAAAGAGTGAAACGAAATGTTGATGAACCAGAATCCCAGCATGATTTTCACAGGCCAGTCAAAGTACGAAAAAAACAAGTTGATAAGTATTCAAAGAATCAGAGTTGTAATTCTGGTGTTAAATCTGTGAAAAGCCAAGCTCATTCTTTATTGAAAAAAACATCACAGGATCAAAATTTAGTGCAAATTTCTAAACCTTTAACTCATTCTCTTAACGATAAGCTTCATGGTCACCCTAGCTGCTCTAAGGAGCTTCCTCATCCTGCACAAACTGGACACCTACTACATTCTAGCCAGAAACAGTGCCATAAGCCTCAGCAACAGGCACCAGCAGTGAAAATCACTAGCCATGTGAAGGAAGAACAGGAGCATCCAGGCGGTGAGCATCTTAAGGATGAGGACAAACTGAAACTAAAAAAACTTGAGAAGAATGTACAACCTCGCCAGAGGCGAAGTAGCCGAAGTTTTTCCTTGGATGAGCCACCATTGTTCATTCCAGACAACATAGCAACTGTAAAAAAAGAAGGCTCAGATCATGGCTCCTCATTTGAAAGCAAATACATGTGGACCCCCAGCAAGCAGTGTGGGTTTTGCAGAAAACCACATGGCAACAGGTGTGTGTGCGTGTGCATGTATGTGTGTGTGTGCGTGTGTGTACATTGAGCAACTTGTAGGAGGCGGGATGGGATCACTGTGAGAACTTTCTAATATAAAAAGAAATTATTTAATACACACAGACTTCTGAAAACCCTGCATCAGTCCTGGATAAATGATAGAAACATGGAGCCACTGAATTTACAACTAGATCATCCTAGAATATTTAAAATAGCATAGTCTGACCAGTAGATGATATTCATGGAAATGTTTTGTTATTGTAACCAGTTAGAATGTAATGTAGTCATTTCATCTGATAAAAACCCAAACCCTTTTGCTAATCAGAAAATTGTTATGCTGCCTTGGGACTGGAGGTTGTATGTTATTTTATCTGGCTGGAGAAGAACTAGTAATAAAGTGTGAAGGCCTTAATGGAATTGCCATTTTTCTTTGGAAGCTGTTAGTTTTTAAATGATGTAGGACAACTATCCAGCTACTGTAATTTCAAAACCACCAGACTTGATCTTGAAATGAAATTATAGTAAAAGTAACTGTTAAATTACCTAGCTAAATTTTGTATGTAATATAGAATAGAGTGAAAATACATACTTATTTTGGAATGTTTTATTGGTTTCAAGAATTTCTTGTGAGTTCTATTAGAATTTTAGAATTGATTTTTACCACTACTTCTCATTATAGGGATATTGTGGATGCTGTTTTTCATAGTTTATGATGTGGTTTCCCCACCTCCAGTGTTTTCATTTGCTTTTTTAAGAAAGGAAAGAGAAGAGAGGAAATAGAGTGTGCAGTTACAAGATGGTGCTGGAGCGTTGGCATTGCTGTTGGACCTTCTAGCAACGCCTACATGATAAAAAGATATCATAACTTGTATACCATATTATCTTTGCTATAGAAGTGAAACGATAGAGTGATTTTTTTTCCAAGATCTATTAGATTACATAAAAATGAAATCAGATTTAGAAATGGTCAATTAGTCAATGGTGGTGTATACATCATTTTATTGGGGTGAGTGGGAGAATGAGATTGTTAAAGTTTTATACCTCAAGGAGTTTTCTTTTTTTCTTTTTGGCTTTTTTCATTTTGAGACACAGAGTAAATGTAGCACAGTCTGACTTGGAACTCACAATGTAATCCAGGCTCTCCTGGACATTGGAGTCCTCTTGCCTCAGCCTTTATTGTTCTGAGATCTTTATGATTTATATTATAGCCTATTTTTAATGTCAGGAATAACTTTATAACAAAGTATATTCCAATTTTTAAATTTTGTGATTGGTTTGATTGAATGTGATGCTACCTTTTCTTAGTTACATGCTTTATATGGTTTTATTTTTACAGTACACTTTTACAGCCTACTCTTTCAGAACTGTTGCTTCTAAGTGTCCCTTTAATAGATGCCAGGCCTTTTATGTCTTTTAGAATCTTTTGAAAATTATAACACTGGCTTGTGCCTAGAAACATAGAATAGGAACCTTAAGTACAACTCCAGCATAGAGTTGGAAAACTGTTCAGTATGTTATAGTATAGCTTTTAATAGATAAATTTTGTTGCAAAGCTCAATCTTCAAGAGTTTGTCCATACTCTTTAATGGTGGCTATTACTTCAACAATTATTTTTGTAAGATGATCCGGTAATCCATTAATTTTTTTTTTTTAACTTAGTGCTACCTTTTGGGTCTACTGTATAAAATCTGGAGGGGTTTTTTGTTTTGGTTTGGTTTTTTATTTTTTTGGTTTCACACTGGAAAATAACTTAGAATGGTAGTTGTACCAGGACTTGGGTGTTCACCCTGTGTAACCTACCTCAATAATGTGTAATAACATTGTAAACAGTTTGTTTCTGAAGTAGCTTTCAGACCCTTCAGTAATCTTTCAGTCATGTGAATAAAGAAGCCTATGTAATTGGTTGGTTTTTTTCTTACATATTTATCTTCATTGCTACTTTGTTACATTGTCCTTGTCTATATTGAATACTTAAAAGGTACTTTTCACAGTCTGTAATTTTCCAGTTTTAATTCACATGTAAAATACTAATTTATTAGGTAAATACATGGGAATGATTTTAATGATTTGGTCTCACATGCTAGTCACACTGAAACCTATTGATAATAGTACTTCGTAGCAGTAAAGGCTTAATTCTTCAGCTTTTTACACATATTGCAGCTAGAGGTAGCTTCCTTGTACAAGTGTTCAGTCGGATATTATGTTTTATATTATGGATCATCGTGGCATAATGTGTTAGAACATTTTACCATAAGTAACTTCTGTCGTTATCCTGAAGACAGTTGTATCTTTTTAACATGCTGTGTGCACCTTTTTCTTCCATTTATTTTCCTGATACAGCCATGTATCAAAAATATTTAATATACTTAAAAAATGACCCGGGCCATTTATTTTTAAATAAATGTGATTTTTGAACTTCTATCACTGTAAGCTGATAGGTGAATTGAAAGGAGCTATCTTAGCCTTTTCATATCTGTCTTGCATTTCTGTTTCCACTTCTTTCTAGAAGAGCTTGCATCTTTAATTTGATTGTACTTTCTTTGCCCCAGTTACAGATTAATATATTGAGTGAAGTTTCAAAAGCAAGCCAAAAAAGTCTCCTTAGAAATATGGATTAATAGTTTTATATTCAGTCAAGAAAACTTAATTCTAAGAAGGACCTTCCTATTCAGAATAAATAATTTTAGTTTTCTCAGGACTTTATGTTTTATACTGGTGTTTTTCTCTGCAGGTTAACCATAACATGATTAGTGTTATGTGGAATCGAATCCTTTCATTTTAGAAGAGTATTTATGTAGTCACGTGTTCTAGGCTGTCATGTAAAACACTCAGCAGATCTGAAGCCGGGCATTCCATTAATCCCAGGAGAGTCAGGCAGATCTCAAGAGTTCAGGCCAGCTAGGGCAATGTAAATGAGACCCTGTCTAAGAACAGAACAACACAGTTCAGATCTGGAGGCCCATCTTGTAATGCCGTCAGTGTTAATTTATGACCAGTATTTGTTAAGAACAGATGTTCTCAGTTGACTCTAGCTTACTTTAACAACAGAAATTTTCCAAAAATGTTTTCTGGCTCATGCCAAAAAATAAAAGATTAAAAATTTAAGTTGCTTTCTGTTGCCTTATAGTAGATCTGATTTAGTTTTTGTTTTCACTCTCAGTTTGTGTATGAATATAGTAGGAAAAGGTATGAATGATCATTACTGCATTTTTTTTCAGTTAATGGATTTGGTTGAGTTTACACAGCATTGGTTTTTATTTTTGCATTTTGTTTTGTTTTGTTTTTTACATACAGGCTCTACTATTTCTTTAAAGAAATGTCTCCATATCTTAATCAGAAATTTGAACACAGGACAGGAAATGGAATAGTAATTGCTGGCTAGTTCACTGCTGCATCTGCTATATTCCCTTTATCTCATTCTTTTAAAATAGTGCAATATCCTGAAAAGGAGTGTGTGTGGGGGGTGTCAGTCTCTCCCTCCCTCTCTCCCTTTTGCTCTATCTATCCCTTACCTTTTCAAAAATACATCATTTCAAAGGTTCATAGTACTTCTAAGTTTTGACATAAAATAGGTATTTACAGTTTTGAGTAATTGACCCTGTTATAGTAAAGTAGATTTAATTTTTCCCTCAGACACTAGGGAGTTTTCTATCACTGTCATTTCTCTTGATTTCATAGGAAGTTTTATTTAAACACATTGCTTTTAAAGCAGAAAACAGACTACTAAGATAACATCTTTAGATGACACAAGAGATTTGTTTTTCACAACTTCGTGTTTGAGTGTAGGCATTTCTAAAGTGAGCTTGAAATCAGGCATGGTGAAATAATTACTTGATAGAGTATATGATCACAGAGCAGAGTATGACTCCCTGGTTAAGTCAGATGAAAGCTGGGAAACACTTTGCCATACTCTATAGCTTGACATTTAGTACTGAAATGCATTTTGCCTGCTTTGAAGAAAACATAATAGAGCTGTACTTATGGAAGTGATGATTGGTTTTCTTTCACTACCACAAAGCTATTCATACTAGATGGGTGGTTCCCAGAAATAGCATTGTTTAGACTTTGCAATCAGAAGGGGAAGAAATTAAGGCATTAAAAATTAAAACATTAAAGAATTGTTCAAATTTCCTCCCTTCCTGATTGCCTGGAACATCTGCATCATTGAAACTACAAAGCCATCAAGAATACTACATTTTGCCGGGCATGGTAGCCTGTGCCTTTAATCCCAGAACTTGGGAGGCAGAGGCAGGTAGATCTTTGTGAGTTCAAAGCCAGCCTGGTCCAGGCCAGCTGGGACTACAGGGAGACCCTGTCTCAAAAAGAACCCCCCCACCAAAAAAAAAAGAAAACCCCAAAATTTTTCAAATGTTTTCTTGGCTTGTGAGTGAAAACACTGCATATTTTTATTTCCAACCCAAGTATATCTTTGGGATGGTGGGGATTGACTGATAGAACTGACAACAGATATTACCACTGCAGACAAAGAATGACTAAATGTGGATAGGTTTCCTTTACGCTCAGCAGTAGTTTGGCACACAGGAAAAGTGCACACAAGGATGAAGAGAAGGAGTAACGCTGTAGAGGAATGAGGTATTTGGCATCACTTTAAACATACTTCCTAAAAGTAGTGCTCAAATTTCTACATTTCCGGCATGAAATCAGGACCTTGTGTATATTTAAAGTTGGCCAGGCCAGTCAGATTATTAACTTTTAACATTGCTTCTGTCAGACATGTTTTTAAGAGGAGTTGAACATTTTGGGTAGTACCACTGTTAGCAATCAGTGTCACAAAGTCCTTAAATGTTTAAGGAATATCCCTAAGTCTTCCAAACACCATGAATTGCCCTGAAGAAGAAAAAGGGAATGTTAAACATGAGTATTTGATGTGAGCTTTGTATTTTTCCTACATTAGAGTTGCTGATCAAGTTGATTTGCCATTTTATATTTGCAAAAGTAGTTGCAAATACTCTGTTAGGAAAATGACAATTCTTTTTGAATCAAAACTTAACAAGCCTGGATTTGACTTCTAGTTAGAGAAGTTACTTCTTAACTAAAAATGGGAAAAAAGGGAAAACTTGATCAGAGGTTTAAAGTCCAATTTGAATACTAATACATTAAGTCAATTTTGATGTTTATTTGGGAAAGTGAGCTGATTACCTAAAGCATGTGTGTTAACTAAAAAAGTACTTCACACCCAAAAGTATATAAAATCATGACACCTTGGGCCAGAATACTTCAAGTTACAGACTGGTTAATAAGAATTTGAAAGACACCATTGTTAGTTTTTTACTTACATTTTTTTTTTCTGTTTGTCTTTTAAAACAATATTCTTAAAAATTTTTTGGTCCTTTAGAAACAGGGTTTCCCTGTAGCCCCAGCTGACTTGAAGTTCACTGTGTAGACCAGGCTGACCTCCACCTCATAGAGATCCACCTGCCTCTGTCTCCAGAGTGCTGGGACTAAAGGTCTGTGCTACAAAACCTGGCCAGTTTTTATTTTTGATAAGTCCTCCAGTGTTCTGTACTAGTTCAGTATGCAAATATAACTTTAACCTGCATGAATTGTGGTCAGTTCTCACCACCGTTCCTTAAGTGGGGAGACTCCCTATTTGGCTTTGGGACCAGTTTTCATCTGATGCTGTTTTGTGTCCTCATCCCTACTGTTTTTTTTTGTTTTTTTTTTTATGATTTCTACTAGAGAGGAAGGCATGTACTTGATTTAAAACTTACATTTTCTTGGGATATTTCTTGACGACTTGATCCATGTTAAATTTAGGATTAAGTGGAAAACCATGCATGATATTTGAATATTAAATATAATTCAGTTTCACTTGACATTAACTTTTAAAAAGGAAATCACAGGGTTTTTTTTCTTCTCCTCTTTCCAGGTTTATGGTTGGCTGCGGGAGATGTGATGACTGGTTTCATGGTGATTGTGTTGGGTTAAGTCTTTCTCAAGCACAACAGATGGGAGAGGAAGACAAGGAATATGTTTGTGTAAAATGCTGTGCTGAAGAAGATAAAAAGACTGAAATATTAGACACAGATATTTTGGAAAGCCAGACTGCAGTTGAAGTCCAGAATGAAGATAAAACAGTAGAGTGTGAAAAGCTTGGCTTATCTAAACACATGATAGCAAATGACAAAAGTAAATACATGGATGATACAGTAAAGCACAAGGTCAAAATTTTAAAAAGGGTAAGCTTTTTGTTATTACACGTGTTAACATTAAGAGCTTTGTAGGGACCCAAGTTACATTTAGAAATTTTCCTCTCAGCTTTCAATGTTACGATATGCATTCTTACCTTTTCCTGAGTTAGATTTTGCTGAGAGCAGGTAGTGACAGCTTTAGAATATGCACAGTTTTTCCTTAAAATCTTTCGTGTTATCTCCAGGCTGTTGTTCTATATTTGAATTTTTGTTGTAGAGTGTGACTATGTGAACTAAGTATAAATTGTATTTTCTAAGGTTTTAAAATGCTTTTTTTCATTGTAAATATTTTACCAATTAACCATTTTGTATTTTCAAGTTGGAAGTGTGATTTTTCTTTCTGTAAGAAAAAATTTTGGGTAACTTTTAACTCCCATGTTTGCTTGGAAATCATAGCCCCTACCTTTTCTCTTAAAATGTGTTTTTTTAACAAATTAATTTTTCCTGGTCTGACATTTTTAAACTACCTTCTAGAAGTATAGTCTAAATAGATTCAATATATTTTATCTTTAAAAGGAGAAACATAGAATGCAGCACTGTATCTGATGTTTTCTTTCCTTACCTGTGATTTTTCTTATTCTTGATTTGTTGTAAAATACTGAAGAACAAAGCAATGGCTATAAATGTATAAGAATAAGCAAATAAAATTAGTCATCCACAAGGACAAGTAATTCATTAATTTCAAGTCAAGAAATGGCCTTCTCATGAGTCCAGCCATTCTGGTGTTAATGAGCCAAACTGCATTTCTAGGAAAAGAAATCCCTTTTGAAAGGATCTCAGCAGTGTGTGTCTTTACTTCTAAGCAGCTATAGTTAGAAAGTTCCTCAGTTAAAGCTGGAATTTAACCCACAGAAACATTTTAGTTCTCTGAAGCCTCCCAATTGGTAAAGGGTTTTTCCCAGTATGATCATTAAAGAGAACCTGAGCTTGTTCTTTGAGCACTGTCTCTCCATTATTTACAGACTCGATTCTTTCAGATACCCCCTTTATGACAAATTTTGATTAATTTCTAGTTTGTCAGATCCTTGTGGCATTCAACATTTTCTGTCTGACAAGATTTTTGGAGAATTAGATTTTTTCCTGATATTTGCTATTAGTTGATTGGGCTAGCATCAAATTCATCTATAGTAAGAACTCCATTAAGAACATTTTACGTATGTCATTAACTATTATTATGTTTTGTATACAATTTCTTGGCTATTTGAAAATGTATTGTCATTTAGCTGAATTGTATCTATCTGACCAAAAAGACATTATAAAATGTTAACAATATTTTGAGAAGTAGTCAGAAGTTAGTGTGATTTTTATAGATTCATGAAACATTGAAGTAATTGTTGCTTCCTTTTTGATCGTGAACTCTTTTAAGTCTTTGAACCAATATAGTGGTAGTTTGTGGTGTCTGCTTTTTACAAGCCACTTCTTATCCCTATATTTTTATGTTGAATCATTTATTGAGTTCCTGTTGTATGCCAGGAATGCTACCACCAGGCTTAGAGATGTGACACTAAAATACATTTCTACCCAAAAGCTGGATGTAGTGGCACATGCCTTTAATCCCAGCACTCGGGAGGCAGAGACAGGCAGCAGGTATCTGTGAGATCAAGGCTAGCATGGTCTGCATAGTGATTTCGAGGCTAGCTGGGGATCCAGGGAGACCCTGTCTCAAAAAAAAACAAAAACAAACAAATAAAACCCAATGAAGCAAAACAAAACCTACTCTGAAGGAATTAGAGAACTGAAAAGTTAGAAATGGATTATTTAGAGAAAATAGTTTTTATGTATATATACTTTATCTTGATACTTATGATTATATATATACATGGTTGTTCCTGTTTTTCAAGGTTAATATGAGTGATTAATTTCTCTCAAGCATCTCAGAATTCTAGTTTCACTAATAATTCTTTGTAGTTTACAATTAAGAACAAAGTAGCATCTACATTGAATGTATCCAAGGTAGTTAAAATCGCAGGTTGACACTGAGAGTATAATTGATACCTTTATTGTAGTTGAATGAGACTCATTTGCTTTAGAAATACAGTGCAAAATTCAGGTGCTCATTTCTTCACAATCTCTTTCCATATCTGCAGCCATCTTACAATTTTGACTGCCTTATATCTAATATTCCTTCTAATGTTAACAGGAACATTGTCTTTGTAGCCTCTTTTCCTCCTTTATAGGATATTATATGCTCTGTAAAAACGTGGTCTACATAGTGAGTTCCAGGACAGCTGGGGCTACAGGGAGACCCTGTCTCAAAAAGACCGAAAAAAAAAAAAAAAGCTGCTTAACAAATAGATTTGAAATGAAAGACTGAATCTTCTATATCCTCCCCCTCCCCCGAGATAGGCTCTCACTGTGTAACCTTGGCCAGCCTGCAGCTCACTATATAGATTGAACTGGCCTCTGACTCACTGAGATCCGTTTGCCTGTGCCTCCTGAGTGCTGAGAATAAAAGCATGTGCCACCATGCCTGGCAGAATCTTCTATTTTCTAATAGATTTATTTTTATCTTAAAGTAGTATAAATGTTGGCTGGATTTACAAATGTTTGGTTTTGGGCGTGGTGGTGCTCAGCTTTAATCCTAGCACTTTGGAAGGCAGAGACAGGTGGATCTCTGTGAGTTCAAGGCCAACCTGGTCTACATAGCAAGTACCAGGCTAGCTGGAGCTACAGGGAGACCCTGTCTCAAAAAAAGTAAAAAATATGCTAGGTGTGGTGGCACATGCCTTTAATCCCAGCACTTGGGAGAGGCAGGCAGATCTCTGTGAGTTCAACGCCAGCCTGGTCTACATAGTGAGTTCCAGGACAGCTGGGGCTACAGGGAGA